TTCAGGTTATAGAGACACATTTACACAATTAAAACATAAATTAGGAGTAGAAGCAGAAGAGGAGAGGGCCTTACACCAGAAGAGAAGGAAATGTCTGCCTCCTCTGTCGTCACCTTGATTTCTGCCTAATGCAACACCCTTCTTGACGAACTGGTGGGAGGGTTGCAGTCACACAATACAACTCGGGTTTGCCTGCACTCTGCCCCATGGCAAAGGCAGTGGCAGGGAGGAGATGGCTCCTGGTGGAAAGCTCTAGAAGGAAGCTCACAAAGACACCTTTGACTCAATGGCTCTTCTTCTTGTGCCATATTCATCATCGGACGTTGGTGATCATGTTGGCAATCCTATTTTTATCAACAGCCACACGAAAAAGGGCTGCTGAGTTTTGTCCACATTTTGAAGCCCTGATGTTCTTCTGCCTGGACCTCGTTTGCCATCCATCTTTCTCTGGAGGATTAAGTGAAGGAGGCTGTTATTTTTCTGGGTGTCGCATCACATGTCCAAAATATTCTGTTGCTTTTTAATGATTTTGATGATTTCCCTTAGCTTTCCTAGGCGGCTTATCACCTCCTCATTTCTGATTTGGTGAACCCAGCTTACAACAACTCAATCGGTAGGCTCACTCAAACCCCTACAATAAGCTGCCCCCTAAAATGGTGGTTCAGTGCATGGTGGGAATTCTCAATTTTCAGTGTTACACAAAACATAAATCCAGGGTTTAGTCTCCATCTTGAGCAGCTATAAACAAACCGTCTTCAGACTGCAGCTGGCTTTCCAGACTCAAATCTAAAGGGCTTGTGCCATGCTCTGTTTTATTTTTATTTTTCACATGATATTACTGTCTAGCCATTCTGCTTATGTAAGCCTCATCATTACCTCAGTGAAACATCAGCTTAATAGATTAATTGTGGGGAGGAGTATTTGCTATAGCCTGTTCAGTTGGAAAGTTTGACATTTCTGGGATCTATGTCATTTGAGTGATGACATAGCAATAGCACTTACTTATATACTGCTGTTCTGACCCAAACCTGTTTCCAAGAGAGCAAATACAAGACAAAGGCAGCAGCACAACCTTTTAATGTTTCATCTATGAATTCTGTTTCTTCACAGATAAAAGGCTGCTTCCAACTAATTAGCTCCAACAAGAGCCTTGCCAAGTTTTTGCAAGGCTGCCAAAAAACAACAGATAAGAAATAAGTTTACAACACAAGAGTCTTCAAATACCAACTGGAATGTCCACGAGGCTGAGTTTCAAAACTTCTTTGCTTCCTACAAAGAACGTTTGCTGCACAGCTGGCTTTTATCTTCTTGAAGGAGGGGCCATTACCTTGCAGCCTTACTCCCGAGTCGCCCATGCTGTTGTAGCTACTCTTTCCTGCGAGCAATCCTGCGTGCGCACGCACTTGTCACAGTCTCCTCGGGAACCTCCTCATCGCTGCTGCCAGTCCCCACAACCTCTGAAGGCAGCAGTCCACTCCCTAATGCTCCTGGCCCCTCATCTGAGTCCTCGCTCTCCACAGCTGTCCTCACCTGCCGCCAGCTAACCACAACAACTGCTTCATAGTGCTTTACAGCACTTTCTGATTTACAAACGTCAGCATCTTTCCCCCAGCAATCTGGATCCTCATTTTTACCAACCTTCCAACCATGGAAGGCTGAGTCAACCATGAGCCGGTGACAATCGAACTGGTGGCAGTGGGCAGAGTAAGCCTGCAATGCTGCATTCTAACCATTGCGCCATCACCTTGCTTCCTTTCTCCCTTCAGCAGTTCCATGTCCTATCCACACTTTGCCCCCCTTTCCTAAAAACCTCATCCCCTCCAGTTGCAATACCTCACTGCAGCAACATCCCATGCCCATCAGAACTTTTCTTGCCTCTCCTGATTATTTTTCTACTCTTCCCCTTAACCCTGGAATTGTGTTTCGGTCCATTCTTGGGACCCTACAGCTCTGTTTCATTCTGTGCCTGGACCAAGAGGCATCTTTTGGTTCCCGCGTAAATCATTTGGAAAGAGCTCTTCTATCTCTGGAAGGGCTCAAATAAAACCTGCTTTGCTCATCCCTTATACGAAGCAAGGCAGCTATTTATTTAATTTTATTGATTTGTTTTTATTTAACAGGGAGCATTTGAAGTCAGTCCTAGGGAGTAGATTACAGATTAACAGGATTGGAAGGGACCTTGTAGGTCATCTAGTCCAACCCCTCCCCGCCCAAGCAAGAGACCCTACACCATTTCTGACAAATGGCAATCCAGTCTCTTCTTGAAAGTCTCCAGTGATGAAGCTCCCACACTTTCTGAAGGCAACTTCTGTTCTATGGGTTGATTGCTCTCATTGTCAGAAAAATTATCCTTATTTCCAGGTTGAATCTCTCCTTGTTCAGTTTCCATCCATTATTCCTTGTCTGATGGCCCTGGACTCTTACAATTTCTTACTTTTGGGGCATTAAGTATATTATTTTCTGTTTTAGTTGGACTAAAAGGGCCACTCTCTCTGAATATTTTCATTGCAATACTTTGGCAAACTTTCCAACATGCATTTTTAAAGGGGCCACTTTTCTACTACAGCATCCAATAGCATATATATACTTGCAAGGATTTTTTGTGTGGGTATGTATGCACATCACACCCACAGTTTATAAAACAAGGGAAGAATTTGTTCCTTAGACTAGAAGACATGCACGCTTCTCATACAACCCCACTTCACACAACAAATTTTGAAAGCAGAAAAACATCCTCCTTTACGGGAAAGTATGCATGCATGTGTCTGTGCGTGCATGCAATTGCTTGCGATAGAGGTGAGCTAGAGAATGCATTTGGCTCAACATATTTTATCTGGGCCTGTTCAGTGATAATACCAAAAGGTGCTTTTTCAAGAGGCAACTGGAGTTTCTGGTTTTTCTTTGAAGACGTTTCGCTTTTCATGAAGAAGCTTCTTCAGCTCTGACTGGAAAGTGGGGAATGGAAGGATTTATATTGACACAGGACAGAAACCATTCTGCAGCCAAGAAGGCTCCAAACTCATTTGCCCTACTCAGGTCACCCTGAGGACACAGATAAACCTCCAAGTGGCCTCAACGTCTCTCTAAAAGGATGCAAATGACCAGCTGTCTGCAAGGAATAGAAATCCTCCCATTCCCTACCATCCAGTCAGAGCTGAAGAAGCTTCTTGGATGAGAAGCAAAACGTCTTCAAAGAAAAACCAGAAAGTCCAGTTGCCTCCTGAAAAAGCACTTTTAGGACAACCATGACCTGGATGACTGAGAATTTCCATCGACATTTGCCTAAAAATACCTTACAAATCAAGTGGAATATTGACATTCAACTCGATTGTTCCCCCCCTGGAGCTGAGGTTCTGCCAATAAAAGTCCTTTTGGAATGAAGAAAAGAACAGTAAATGATCAATAAACAGAAGTGTTTATCCTCCAACTGCCAAAAAGCAACACTGGGACTAATTCTTGTTCATTAGAATGAACAAGGGAAAGAAAGTCAGTAACTAATTGCCGTCCAGCCATTAAATGTTAACTAAAGAGCAATAAGAGGGATGCATTTAGCGGCAGGCCATTACGAGCTGCTACTGAAGACAATTTCTCTTTTCAGAGCCCAGCAGATCCTCAGTTGTAACTTAGGAAACACTGTAGATGTGTAAACATCCACTGGAGCACATAGAAGTCCTGCTGTTGAGGCTCAGAGATTTGGGGTTGGTTTGTTCTTAAGTGCTTATGGATCGACTATCGCAGAGTAGTGGTCGCCAACCAGTGGGCCGGGAACCACTGGTGGTCCTCTTGATACTTACCAAGAGGATCTGCAACCTAACATTTGTTACCTTTTGCTTCACACTGTTGTGGTCCGCCGGCAGCCTGCGGAGATGGTAGCAGAATCCGACAGTGGGGAGGAACATGGGCCGGTCTGGGAGTTTAGGGAGGACTCGGACGAGGGTCCTGTGTCCGATGCAGAGATGGGGCCAGGGCCATCTGGGAGTTATGTGCTGACTCCGGAGCCTCCAGAATCAGACAGCAGCGAGGCAGATGAACAAGGGGAGCCTGTTCCCAGTGCGCGTATACACAGAGCTGCCAGAAGGCAAGAGCAGCTAAGACAAAAGGGGTGACTCGAGAGTACGGCTTGGAGGTGATTAGCCCTCCCATAAGATATAAAGGAAATGCAAAGGGACAGGAACCTTTGCAGGAAGCAACGTCGTTCGCACTGTTCAGATTAAATCTTGAAGCTCTGTGTGGACTTCGTACTTCGTTTGGCTTTTTACAGTTAATTTTGCACTTTAGCTGTTGGCAGCAATTCAAAGGAGATAAAGGTGGGTGTTTATCTCGAGGGACTGTTTGAAATAAAAACAGAGTTGTTTGGACTAAGCATGTGATTAATTACGGTCTCAGGAAGCCTTGGTCAGAACACACATGTTAAGCCAGACTTATCAGGAAAAAAACCATGAGGTAAATTTCAGAGTGTAGTAAGATTTTTTAAACTTTACTACAGGTTGGTGGTGTACAGGACTTACAAGAGTTCATTTGGCGACTGTTCAAAGTTACAACTGCATTGAATAAGGACCATTTTTCATACTTATGAACATTGAAGCATCTCCATGAAAAATTCATCAAAATTCAGATGCTTGGTGATTGGTTCAGATATACGACGATTGCCGTGTCCCGGGGTCATGTGATCATGTGATCATCTTTTGAGACTTTCTGACAAGCAAAGTCAATAGGAAAGCCACTTAACAACCGTGTGACTAACGTAACAATTGCAGTGATTCACTTAAGAAACGGGAAAAGAAAAGTTGTAAAATAGGCAAAACACTTAGCAAATTTCTCACTTAGCAACATAAATTCAATTGTGATTGTAAGTCGAGGACTACCTGTATTTAGCAGACAGGGGAACCAAGCCATTTTTTTTTAACTTTAGTGTACTGTGAGAATCCAGAAAAAGATTAACTCCTGACCTGTGATGACAGCTGAAGAGCCCAAAGCAAGGAGCCTTCCTATGCACTTACCTGGAAGAGGATCTGAAGGACGCCGTGGGTCACGCACATGCGCCGCCCCAGGAAGACAAAGAAAGGCACAACCAGCTCAATGAAATGGTTGAAGAGAGTCTCAAATGCATGGAACCACCAAGGCGACCGGTGCATGAAATAGGCCACAGGATTGGGAACTGGCTGGGTCTAGAAGAGAGAAAACAAGAAGATAGCAATAGCACGTAAGATTTATATGCTGCAAATAATGACATGTGCAATGAAATGGACAAATTGACTTTAATGGTACACGAGAAAGAGGAGTCTGAATACTATAGAATTTGGGGGAAATGGTATAATTGGATCCAATTAAGACAGATAGAAAGTGAAGGAATTAAAGATGAGCAACTCATAGATTAAATGTATATATTCGCACAAAATATATTATTATATTTTATTATTATATATTTGTAAATATGCACAAAAGATAGAAATGGATGAGATGGATGTCACAAAACTGTTAACGTCATGATTTTTATTTTGTTTTCTTTCTAAAATATATAAAAGACTAATAAAGTTTATTTTTTTTAAAAAAAGATTTATATGCTGCTTCATAGTGCTTTTACAGCCCTCTCTGAGCAGTTTACAGGGTCAGCATATTGACCCCCAACAATCTGGGTCCTCATTTTTACCCACCTCGGAAGGACGGAAGGCTGAGTCAACCTTGAAACAGTCAGGATCGAACTGCTGGCAGTGGGCAGAGTTAGCCTGCAATACTGCACTCTAACCACTGTGCACCATGGAAAGAAGGGAGGGAGGGAGGACCAATAACACTTAGACTTATATACCACTTCACGGTGCTTTACAGCCCGCTCCAAGCAGTTCACCGAATCCGACTCTTGCCCCCAACTCTCTGGGTCCTCATTTTTACCCACTTCAGAAGGACGGAAGTTTCTCCTTAATTCCAGGTTGCTTCTCTCCTTGCTGCATTTTCCCTTCGTTTCCCCTTTGATTCGCTTGGATACTTCAAACAACTTCTTAAGGGAAGAGATGGGTTTCCACAACGGCCAAGCCTGAGGGCCTGGGGTGGCATGCGAGCTCAGCGACACTGACGCCCAGGGGTGGGCTGCAGGGGGTTCGGGAGAGCCCCTAGCTAAGGTTCTGCAGAGTTCAGAGAACCCCCAAATCCCACCCCTGGCTGGCCCCACCCATCCTGCCCCACGCAGTTCCCACGCAGCCTGTTTTGGGGAGGGCAAAAAATGGGCCTCCTGGAAGTTTGGGAAGGCCAGAAACGGGCCCATTTCCGGCTTCCAGAGAGCCTCCGGAGCCTTGGGAGGCCATTTTCACCCTCCCGGAGGCTCGAGGAAAGCCTCCGGAGTCTGGGGAGGGCAAAAACACCCTCCCCCGCCGTGGTGCAGGAGGCCGACTAGGCCACGCCCACCCAGCAACCGGGCAGAGCACCCTTTGCTAAAACTTTTGAAGCCCACCCCTGCCAACACCCGAGTTTGGGCCTCCCTGCTGCTTGGCTGAGACGCCTGCAGAGAGAAGCTGATGCTCTCAGCGCCTTCTTGCAGCCGCTTCCTATCCAGATCTGGTTTCGGCTCCTCTGGATTTGCACCTGTTCTCAGGGGTGGGTTTCTACCGGTTCTGTCTCTACCTCTGTAGAACCGGTAGCTCTGAAGAGCAGCAGACATAGAACCGGTTCTATGTCTGCTGATGTTTTTGCCCACCCGCCCACCAGGGGTCTTACCTGACCTTTATTTCCTGATTTTTTTCAACTTCAGCTGCCGTGCGAGACACAGATGCAGGAAAAAAGGGCTTTTTGAAAGGCTGCTTCTCTGCACACAGCATGCTGATGATGATTTACAGGCGCACTCTGGCAGCGTGCAGGGAAGCACACTGTAAATCACCGAACCTCGTAAATGACCGAACTGGTAGTTAACCCTGTCGGATCCCACCCCTGCCTATTCTGGAACCTGCTGGCAGCCAGCGCCTTCCAGCCTCGCAACATCTGCCGGAGAATGGACAGCCAAGGCTACACAATCCACACGGCCCTTGAAGACCTCAACTGGCCCCTTTTTAAGATGTACAGGTTAGTCCTCAACTCACAAGAGTTTGTTTAGTGACCGTTCAAAATTGCAACAGCACTGAAACACCGTCATGGGTTATGACCGTATTTCACACTTTGTGACCACTGCAGCACCCCCAAAGTTCATGCGATCAAAATTCAGACACACACACACACACACCCAGCAACTGACTCGTATTTATGACGATGGCAGTGTCCCGGGTTGACATGATCCCCTTTTGTGACCTTCTGATAAGCAGTCAACGGGGAAACTTAACAACTGCAGGGATTCACTTCACACATGTGGGAAGGAAGGTCTTCGAATCGGCCCAAGCTCGCTTAACAAATGTCTTCGCTTAGCAACGGACATTTCAGGTTCAGTTGTGGTTGTAAGACGAGGACTACGGTATACAGGTGTGTATTTTTTTTGGAGGGGGGGGAAATCTTTTATGGGTTGCACACACTATCAGCAGCTCCTTGTCACCACACCTGCCCATTGCTACACACTTGCTTTTCAGAATGCAGGATTGTCCCAGAGATTTTTCATCTTGGAAAGGAGATGAGAGAGGAAGGAAGACAGGCAAACGGCAGAGAAACTGAGAGCCAAATAACAAAAGTTTGAGGCTTGCGGGCATTTTAGCACATCGAATGCAAATTAGACTTCCAAACTTTTTCCAATCTTCTGACAGCGAAGCAAAGGAGGTGGGAAAGACCAATGGTAATTGGAAGAGACGCAACACATCTTTAACCAGTTTGCAGCAGAAAGGAAGAAAGGAAAAGCCAAAGCAACGAGAGAGGGAAGAGCGTGCACAAGAGAACGGCCTCCCCCTCCTCCCTCCGCCAAACACTGGAACGAATGCAGCGCCATTATTAGCATAGCTGGAATTAATCATGTTGTTGCTTTCTATTGGTTTTTGGCTGGATGGAATTCCCTCGGGACAAAAGACCGCATCCTTCCTTCCGCTGGCAGAGGGGGCAGGACGGAACGAGCGGAAGGGTCATGGAGCACAGCCGAGGCCCTGCTCTCAGGGTCAGGGACAGGGGGTGCTGCCCCCCCTCCACTCCCAGCCCCTATGGGGACTGGTTTGAGTTAGCCTCTGAGGGAGGCTGGGCCAAAGTGTGTGTGTGTGTGTATGTATGAGAGAGAGAGAAAGAGAGAGAGAGAGAGAGAGAGAAAGAGAGAGAGAGAGAGAGAGAGAGAGAGAAAGAAAGAAAGAAAGAAAGAAAGAAAGAAAGAAAGAAAGAAAGA